GTGCCGACCGCCGCCTCGCACCGGCCGCCACCGCCGCCGCCGCAGTCACTGCCACTTCCGTTACCATCACCCCGTCGTCACCGCCCCCATCGCCATGCTGTTGCACCGTCACCACACCATCCAGTAGCGCACCGGCTGAGTTTAGCACACTGCTAGGGTTGCCGCTGTTTCAGCAGCGACGCTGACCGGGAGGTCCTAGGGTTCCAGTCCCGACGGTGGCACATTTTAGACTCTAGCTAGATAACTAGGTGGAATTCTAGCTGTCGGCTTCCGGTAATTTTCCGTTGTTTCTCCGATCAATATTCGATGAGTGCTGGTGCAGCATCCTAACAAACGGACCACGGACCGCGCGCGATCTTTTCTTCCTCTTCATTGGCACATCATCTTCCCTTATGCACACACTTTCACTTAGATGTACCATTCAACAACACCTTTCGGAACATCAGTCGGGAGCTTATTGCCCAGGCTGACGCGATGACCTGCTGGGGGAGATATCTGGAGGTATGAAACCTCCGATGTGAATATCGGCGCCGGTTCTCGCCATTCAGCAGGCGAGGAACACCGCCACATCCCGAGGATGAAAAGCCACTACACTTGCAGGACTAATGACCATGGCAGTTGCCGTATCCCGAAACATCAATCGACCAATCAAACCAGTACCGCCCCCACCACTTCCGTCGATGTGTCCGTGGTCACTGCGATGCTTTCATTTGAGACTTCCCCACGTGCACAAGTGCCCACGACAACTCCGCTACCCTCAGCAGCGCTGATCCGCCACTGCCCGCCACCGCCGCTAACATTGCCACCGTCTCTGAGCCGTAGCCGCGGTCACCATCGCCGTCGTCGTCTCTTGCCTGCTGCCGAGTGCTCGTCGCAACATTGCATGCCTCCGTCCCACCCTCGCCCTTGCGGCAGCGCCCGGGGACCAGCAGCCCTGCTCCGCTCTGCTCCGCTCAGACGCGCCTTATTTCCGCAGCGCCGCGCCCTCGTTCACATTAATGCTCGGCGCCTCTGCCTTGGTGTGCGGCAATGCAATTTTCAAAATTTATTATTCAGTTATTATGTATGAAAATTAGTACTTTCCTTCACTGTTAATTGATTAGAACTTGTGATTTTGCGGTACGCGAGCGGCAAAATCTACGGTACCGCAAAGAAGTCATGGCCGAACACAACTGCAAAGACAATACTGGGGTGGCGTGAAACAACATGACTTCCACCTTGCATCACTGATCACTGATAATGATCCCAAGAGTATACATGTATGTTTTATAAAAAGTAGGCAACACGAAACATACGAGTCTTTGACGCACTCATTTAAAAACGCTGTATTCAGCTCCTATTATTGCCTCGTCCATCAACATTTCATTCGTACGTCAAACACTTTCTGTACTAGTTACGTTTAATGTAGTACATATTTGACGCGCAGTAAGGGGTTATCTTACTGCTCTCTGAGTTCCCAGTGCGTGGGTTTGATCCCGACAGAAGAGCGTGAATTTTCGAAGGGCGGAAAACCCACAGTAGCCATGTCACTCGTATGGCATGAAAAAAAGAACCCTGGCAAATGCCCGGCACAATTAAATCCCTCCTACAATATCCCGCCTTAACGAGATCTCACTTTCTCCCAAACAGATAGCTCGGATATAGTTAACTGAGACCGTCATCTGGGGTAGAAAGTGAGAGTCACACCCCAGGCGTACCAGGGGACGGCTGCGAGCCGCCCCTGCTTAAAAGGTTCACAGATCCGTGTCGGAGGTAGGCTTCTAAAGATGCCTCAGTCGTAAAAGATGCTGAAATTTCATAGAAAGCATGCAGAAGGAATTGATTGAATCCT